TATGTTCCTGGTAACAATTCAAATCTAAATGTGGATTAAATTATTTTGTGTATTTTATTCAATTAAATTTATCAAAAAATAGATGAAGAAATTGGAGGGAAAGATGGAATGGGATATTTTATTGAATCAGATGATTTTAAAAAGTTAAATGTTGGATTTGCTTTAGATGAAGGAATTGCAAACCCTAATGATGCTTTGAGAGTTTTTTACGGAGAAAGAGTACTTTGGTGGATTAATGTTAAAGCAAGAGGTAACACAGGACATGGATCACAATTCATCAAAGATACCGCTGTTTCAAAATTGGTTTGTTATTATATATACATACATTTAGTGAGAATTTACTATATCTACTAATATTTTATAAATTTATAGAATCGTATTATCAACAAGTTTATGGAATTTCGCACATCTCAGGAACAACAATTGGCAATTTGTGTAAATGCGGATGGATCAAAATATAAAATTGGGGACGTAACAACCATTAATCTTACTATGCTAAATGTAAGTATTTTAATTTAACAATTTCGTTTAAGCAAAAAAAAATGTTTTTATTAAACAAAATTTTTATTTAATAGGCTGGTGTTCAACATAATGTTATTCCAGAAGAAGCTATAGCAGGTTTTGACATTAGGATCTCACCAAATGTTAATTTAACGGCATTTAAAAACTTTATAGAAGAAATCGTATATTCTGAACCTGAGTAAATTTATGATTTATTTGCAATGCTTCTATTTTTTAACAAATTTCTTTAATTCTATATTATCAATTTTTATAGCACTACAATAGAGTTTGTGCAGCATAATGGAGCTATAAGAAATACACCACTAGATGAAAGTAATATTTGGTGGGTTGTATTTCGTGATTTCTGTAAAGAACGGTAAGTTTGCATTTTATTGATTTTTTGATTTATTACCTAAATTAATTGTATTAACTATGTATTTGTTTTATAGTAATGTCATTATTGAACCTGAAATTTTTCCCGCTACTACTGATGCGCGTTATATACGTAACGGCGGAATTCCGGCATTGGGTGTTTCTTATATTAAAAATACACCTATTTTACTACATGATCACGATGAACGTATAAATGAGAATTTGTTTCTTGAAGGTATCGAGTTTTATAAAGATTTAATCAACCACTTGGCAAATATCCAAGAATCTTAAATTACCAATACAGTAAACAAAGTTTTCATATATATAAAACAAATGAATATGCATACTGTAACTCCACCACCTCATAAATTCTAAACCTAATTTATTTTCAAAACTAAATAAATTTTTTTTTTTTGGTTGCTTCTTTTTACTTGTGATTATGTAAATAGTGTAAAAATATGCAAAGGAGGAAATTTTTAAGTTTTCCGATTTTAAATTTTTAAAAATTAATTGAAGGTATAAAAAAAATGTATACAGTTTAATAAAATTTTTTTAAAAAAATTAAGAAACAAAATAGAGTAAATTTATTTGTTACTAGCGGTAACAGTAACTGGATTTGATTGATTAATCAATTCTTAAGAAATATTATTAATAAGTTAGAGAAAAATCTAAAAAAACCAAGTCAGAAGAAGCTACTTTTAAAAGAATAAGTTTTTACTATTTGTTTTTTTATTAAAATTGTACAAATATATATTATACTGTAATTAACTATTTTTATACTAGTAAACTATTAGTAAGCGTTATTTGAAATAACAGAAAATATTTGATAATTTTTTTGTTTTTGTTAATATTTTTTATAATATTTAGAAGGTATATAGTTAAAAAGAGTTTGTATAGAAGATATTCATTTATAATATATTATATAAAGTTTAAAAAAAAAAAATTATTATTTGTAGATCTGGTATTTTTAATATAGTAGTTAGGTTATTAGATTTTTTTTTTTTTTTAACTTAGGCGATCTTGCCTTTTATTTATTAAGAGAAAACACATATGATGTTACAACAAAAATAAAACTAATTTATATTAGCTATATAACTGTTCCTTTTTTTCAATTTCAGACTCACTCAGCTGCTCTAGGTATCCAAGTATGATCAGTGTATGGAAGGAATATCTAATTAAGAGTAGCCATATTGTCCCAGTTGAGAATTTGTTCAGTAAAATATAGTTTTATGTAGTTGAGTCTTTTTTTTATACTAGTTGGATTTGGTAGTATTTTGATTATGTGATTTATACTATGTTCTATTTTTTTTAGTACATGTAGCCAATTAGATTGTCTATTAGCTAGAGTATATTGCAGATCATGCAGTAGCAGGATTCATTTTGCAGTAGTTGTGTGGTTTTCTGCTAGTATGAAGATATATAGGTTTTTAGTTAGTATAGACTCATTAGTAGCTATAGCATCTTGGAATTGTTGTATTCAGTATTTGAATATGTTATTGTATTTATTTTGTAAATTTGTAAGATTATACAGAAGTGAGATATTTTGTTGTGTCTGGATATCTTCTATCTTCCTAAGACTATATATTTTGTAGCAGAAGAATGTAGAGCTGAGAACTGATGATGCCAAACTAGCTTTGTGTTTAGCAATGCTAGTATATTTGTTTGTAATCTTGTTTATTGTAAACTTGTTTAGTACTGTATTTAATAGTCTGTAGGAAAGTCGAGTTAGGATCATTATATTGATTATGTAGATCACTTGCTTTTTTGTTATCTTTGATGTTTTTATTTTCTGCAATACTTCTTCTGCTTCTTGTATGATTATATCATGTATAGATTTGTGTTTTCTCTCTATTGTGAACTAGCAACCTAAAAATCTGAATACTTGTTTTGACAAGATTGTATCAATTTAAGTGTTGTCAAAGATAATTGATAGTGATTACTCTGATGAAGTTGTTGCTAAGATTGACTTTGTAGAGTTGACTTTAATATTAGTTAGCTTAAAGAAAAAGGTTGCAGTTTTGAGAATTTTAGCTAGCTTCTGTTTGCTACTCACTAGCTATAGTATATCGTCTATGTATACTAAGACTTGTAGATTTTTTTTATATGTTAATTCAGATTAGTGCTTCGTATTGAGTATTGTATATCCTATATGTAGTTTAGCTACTTTTGTAAGTAATGAGTTGTAGTATATTCACCACAGGTGAGGAGTAATTGTCTCTCCTTAGTCAATACTATTATAAACTTGATATGGTTTAGTGTTTCTAAAGTTTGTAATTACTAAGTTTGAACGGTGAGAAAAAATATTAAAGATAAGATTAGCTATAAGAAGAGGTAAGAGTATATGAACTATATCATAAGCCTTACTCATATCTTGTGCTAGCATCCAGACTTCTTTATTTTGTACTTGTAAGTTTTCTATGATATGAGAAAGAAGTGTAATCAGAGTAGATGTTGAGTTGCCTGATAGAACAACAAAGTTAGAGTTATTTAGGATTGAGTACTAAGAACAGATATTGCTTAGTCTGATAGTGATTATCTTTGTAAAGATCTTTCTTGTGTATTTAATTAGAGAAATTGGATGAGTATGATTTAGCTGTCCAGTAAAAATTAGCTTTTTTGAGATAGGATAAATAAAGTTTTGTTTCCAAGTACTTGGAATTTCTTGTAGTTTAAGACATACGTTAAATATATTGAGAATATATTCTAATATATGATCATCTAGATGTTTTAGCATCTCATTAGAGATTAGCTGTAGGCCTGTTGCTTTCTTTATAAGAGCTAGTGCTATACTATTTTTAAGCTTAGTGAGTATTATGTCTTGAAATATATTATCATATCAGTCATACGTTTTGTCACAAAATTTTTGCTTAGAAATTTTTTTTACTAATATAATGTAAAATTTTATTCTGAACAAGTTTACTTAAAAAACAAAAGTAGATTATCTTAGTAAAAAAAAAAGTTTTATATAGAAAAACTACAAATTTTACATTTATTATATAGTAAA